AGTAGCACCACTGGGAATCAGGGAGGTGTTGGCAAGAAGCAGAGGACGGGGTACCTGACTGCGACAAAAAATGAGGCACATTCTAAGCAAGCTGGGCCCATTAGATGTTATAACTGCAATGAGGTGGATCATCTGTCAATAAACTGTACCAAGCCTAAGGTGTATACATGCTTTACTTGTGGTCAGCCAGGACATATTGCTAAGGATTGCAAGAGTGAAAACAAACCGGGGAGACAACAAAGACAAGGAAATGCCAGAGTCTTTGCTGTGGGTCAAAGGCAGAGGAATACTGGTGTGGAAGGTACAATAACTCTCTTTCATAATCTTGTGAGGGTTTTGTTTGATACTGGTGCATCACATTCTTTTATCTCTCGATCTGTTGTGAATGCGTTGGGATTAACTCCTAAATTGCTTGGTGTACCTTTAACTGTTGAGTCACCTTTGGGTAATTCTGTGAAATTGATTTTGGTGTGTGAGTCTTGCCCATTGTTGATTGGTAACAAGGAGTTCCTTGCTGATTTAATTATTCTGGATAATAACTCGTATGATATGATACTTGGTGTGGACTGGTTATGGTGTAATCATGCTGTAATTGATTGTCATGGAATGTTAATGTCATTTCATACTCCTGGACAAGCGGTGGTTCGGCATAGGTGCATTAAAACTGATGCAACTATGAAGTTTGGGTTTCTAGCTCTTGTGGAAAGAGTAGAACGAGTTCTGGCATTGGAAGATGTTCCTAAAGTATCTTTGTATCAGGATGTTTTCCAAGATATTGTGGGTTTGCCTCCAAGGAGGGTAGTAGAGTTTACTATTGAATTGATTCCGGGAACGTCACCAATATCAAAGGCTCCATATAGAATGGCACCTACCGAGTTGAAAGAACTCAAGATTCAAATTGATGGTTTAGTGGCACAAGGGTTCATTAGAGTGAGTACATCACCTTGGGGTGCACCTGTCCTATTTGTGATGAAAAAGGATCACACACTGAGATTATGTGTGGATTACAGAAT